CAGGGTGACTCTGCCTTCTGCATGACAGGAGCCTTGCTCAGTCACTGCCATCTCCTGGTACCTTTGGCTCTGAACCACCCAGCTCATGGTCACTCTGGTCAAATCCTCAAAAGTGTCAGGGAGGTGGGGACCATGGGTACTGGGATGAAGGGATCCTGACCCTGTACCATGTGCTGTGTCCTAGAAACCCATCTGCGGCTCTCCGGAGGGAGGAACGGCTGGGAGGGCCGCGTGGAGCTGTACAACGGCAGCAGCTGGGGGACGGTGTGTGATGACCAGTGGGACCTGAGAGATGCCCAGGTGGTGTGCCAGCAGCTGGGCTGTGGCCAGGCCATGGCCGCTCCAGGCAGCTCACACTTTGGCCTTGGCTCTGGGAGCATCTTCCTGGATGACGTGCAGTGCCGTGGGAACGAGCCTTCCCTCCAGATGTGCAGGCACAGAGGCTGGGGTGTGCACAACTGTGCACATGTGGAGGATGCCAGTGTCATCTGTGCAGGTACGGGGTCTGCAGAGGCCAGTGCCTCTCCCATGAGCTTATGGCTCCTTGTCTCTGGTCTCCTGTGTCCCTATCCCTTCCTCCCTGCGATCCGTCTCATGATACTGTGTGCCCCAATGTGGCAACTTTCTCCTGAGTAACATATCTCACCTGTGGCTTTTCTTCTTCCACATCCACAGCTTCTCTGGCCATCCCAACTCCTCCATCAGGTAATGCTCTTCCGTGCCTCTTCTCACCTCTTTTATTTGTGGGCTGTCTTCCTGTTGGGCTTTTCTTAATTTGATTTTTTGTTTCTATGGCGATATCGTTTTAAACTTGCATGGTAATTCCTAGACAGGATGTGATATCTCCTTGTATTTCAGTGATGCTTATTTTGTAGTTATGCTGATTTGGCCATGGGCAAGCCATTCCCTCGCCTGGTTCTTCAGCTCAGTTAAGGTTTAGGAAGTATTGTCTAACTTTAAACCACATACCTCAGTATTACCAGGGTGGACTTCAAGTATTGCAATGTTTAATTTTTGGCTCTTCTGCTTACTAGATCCATTATGGTCTTCAGCCTGCTGTTTTTGCCTTTGAAAACAGATTTTAGATTTAGAGCTTGACCGTTCATAGTAGGAAATAGTATGAAAGTGAAGGTGCCTGAGAGACATCCAGTGTGATCAGAGGAAGGGGCAGTGCTTGGGTACAGTCACTGCTCCCAGGCTTGGAATAGCCTAAGAATCCCAAAATCCTGAGGCAGGGAGGAGTGTGTTGCACTGGGGGTGTCCCTATGTAGGAATATAAAATGGGAAGTTGATGTCTTTACATGTCAGATCTTGTAGGAATTAAGTTTAGAGCCTGAACTCACCTTCCTATAGAGAAACCTTTAGGATTATCTTTATGTTTAACATAAGTATATGTCATTCATGCCAACAGGAACATGAAAGCTTTTTGCAACTATGCTTATAGGAGAAATAAGATATATTTAAGACTTGACTCAGCAGCCTGAAGTGCTTATTTCAGTCTGACACCATAAAATTACAGTGTTTCTAGAAGACTTGCAACTTATTTATCCTCCAAAGTCCTTAGAGGAATAAAGAGAAGCAGCAGAGTAACCAGGGGGATGTTGTCTGTTCAGGAAAGTACTTCATTTTGAGTGTCATGAGACCTCCCAAAATCAGACCTCAACTGCAGAAAGGAGAAACCAGAGCAGAAAGCGTGAAGATGTTACCAGCCCAGCCTGAAGAGGGTGGTCTGACACCATGGATGTGACAGGGAATCCCAAATCCAACATGACAGTAAAGCTAAAGCAAAAACAAATATTTGCTTTGATTTGAGTCATACAGAATATCGTCTGCAGTCAGTGGGAGACCTGCTTTTCAGCAGCTGTGGATTAACACATGTACAGCTCCAGTACAATTTTGTAGAGGTCACTGTCAGTAAATTATCTCCCATTTCTTTCTGTAGCTCCTTATTTTTGTGGTGGCTCAATCTCCAATTTCTCTGGGGTGCTGCAGAGTCCCTTCTACCCTGGAAGTTATCCAAACAACGCTGACTGCCTGTGGGAAATACAAGTAGAGAGCAATTTCCGTGTTATCCTCACATTTAGAGATATTGCGTAAGTAAAACATTGATTCCCTGGGCAAATAACCAAGTCGAAACGCACTTTAGAAGTTTGAAAGCTTATCTGAAACAAGCAACCTCCCCACTTTTAAAGACACTTTCAATAACTTTCAGTAGTTAGAGCAGTTAGAAAAAATCTGGATTAGTGTAGTATTTTCTGCTCACAATTTTCTGCTACAGCTACATACGAAATGAATAAAACCTCTTCTGTTCAAACTTTAAGTGCTGAGAGATTTTATCACATGTTAGGCAGTCAAATCAGAGTTTCTGAAACACATTTGACAAGGTGCTGACATTTGTTTGCCAGGATGCAAAGCGGCAGATGCCAGTTTGACTACATTGAAGTCTACGACGGGCCTCCACATTCTTCGCAGCTTCTTGGGAGACTTTGTTCTGGTTCCCTTCCCACGTACATATCCTCTTCAAACATGATGACCGTTCGCTTTCACAGCGATTCAAGATACAGCTTCAGAGGGTTTCAGGCTCACTACTCCTCCGTCCCAGCAGATCACAACACTAGTAAGTTCCCAGCCAGTGTTTCTCAATGGATAAGCCTGTTCACTGCTTTTGTTTGCAAAATAAATATTTCTATATATTTAAAAATGTTAAGGGAATGAAATTATGTGCGTGAAATATTATGAGTTGGTGTGTGAATTGCTTACTTTCTAAATTAAGAAAATAGCAAAACTTTGTACAATTACAACCTTTAATCATTAATAAATTCCTGAAGCCACCAATATATGGTATTTTAATTCTTCTTCTTCATATATTCTTCCACCAGCCCTTCTGTGCTTGCCAGACTACATGCATGCAGTGGTTAGCAGGGACTATCTCCAGTCTCAAGGTTACTCAGCGCAGATGATCACCCTGAATGACAGTGGCTGCAAGCCAACAGTCACCTCACAGGAGGTTATATTCAACATTCCCTACAGCGGCTGTGGGACGATACGAGAGGTACGCTCACACTTGTGTGCAATGAGCTGTGGGACCCACTTTGAAAAGAGTGGTCAAAATTGTGGGCCACAGTGCTAAGAAATGAACCAACAAGAGGTTTTCAATGCTTTAGGTTTCCATGCCTTAGGGAATTCCCATGCTTAAGAGAAATGAGTTTCTGGGAAGAAAAGCATGGAAGGAAGTCATAGAACTTTCCTTGACTTAAAGTAGATGAGGTGTCCCAAGTATCGTGCAGGTTTGAGATGACTGTGTATTGACAGTGTTTTGTACAGATGTTCAGTGCATTGGCTCTCCCTCGTATTTAACAAAGAGTTTTTCTGCACTGATTTCTGTTTAATTACATACCCTATTTCACCAGGTTTGTTTAAAATCTGTAACCAGAAAAGACCAACATCAGTCTTCTTTGTTTAGAGTTTAGGATGAATCTACATTTTAAAATTGCATTTTACTCTATCGAAGCTTAGAGCATAGCATGTGACAAAACGCAGCTCCTCACTTTAAATTTAATGTTAAACAGGAGAATAATGATACAATCAACTATTCCAACGTGATCAAAGTTACATCTTCTGGGTACATAATCAAGAGGAAAAAGAATATTGACTTGCATATCAGTTGCAAAATGCTACAGAACACATGGATGCAATTAATGTATGTTGCTGAGGATACCGTAGAGGTGAATGAAAATCAGTTTGGAAGATATGACGTGAACATCATGTTTTATGATTCCCCATTATTCTCGCGGGCAGTGCACGACTCTCCATACTACATTGATTTAAACCAAGATCTGTACGTTCAAGCTAATCTTCACAGCTCTGACAGAAAACTGAAGTTGTTTGTGGACACATGTGTGGCATCACCTGATCCTCATGCTTTTAACAATATCATGTATAAAATAATTGAGAACGGGTAAGAGCTCTCTCAAGTCATTAGAAACACAGCTGTAATATCCATTTTGCATTTTCTTAAAGAATAAAGCCAAAGTGAATTGGTTTAGATCTCATTATCAAGAGACTGTTAAAAGGGTTCATTGATTTTTTTTTTATTTTTACATTATGAGCCTGAATAAAAGAAAAGATATTTAGGGCTTACTAGCACTTTGTTCACTTGCTTCATCCTTGACCTATATGCAAAACTCAAAGCAGTGGGAGTGAGGTAGAATTGATGAGAAAGTGAAAACTGGCAGCAAGAATCTATCATCCTAGGCAGTAAATATTTTAATAAAACCAGGTCAAGCATTAGACCCACTTTTAATGCTTCATATAGCACAGGCATTAGTAAAAGTATGTTCTCCCCTCTTCACCACTTATTGTCTTCTTCTCTTGGAGTAAAAAGAGTTGCCAGTGCTTTAACTGCTTGATAGGACTTAAGCCAGTCTGTACTTTAAACACCTATACTACACCATAAAAGTTGCATTTTTATCCCTTTGTGTTCTTTGCTCCAGCCTTGCTTTATTCTATAGTATTTTTACAGGAATGTACATGTGTGTATCCACTAAGACTAATTCTCTTTTTCATCTCTTTCTAGATGTCCCGAGGATCCTTCCTACGTCAAGCACAATTCCTCTGACAACCACGTTGTTCGGTTCGAATTTAAGACCTTTGAGTTCATTGACCGCCATCCGTCCGTCTACCTGGGCTGTGAGCTGATGGTGTGCAGGGCCGATGACTCCTCCTCCCGCTGCTACCAGGGCTGTGTTAGCAGGTCCAAGAGAGAAGCAAGTTCTGCTGAGGAAAAAGTGAATGTGGTTGTCGGGCCACTTAAGCTTCGAGAAGGGGGTGCTCAGAGTAGGAGTACTGGTAAAGTCAATTAAATTTCTCTCTTATTTACTCTAAGACTACTTAGGGCTTCATGTAAAGCCGTAACTCTGCATTTCTGACATCTGTCACTGAAATCTGCTTTTGCTGACTTCATCATAAAAAGGAAAGGATTGTTTGGCTGACTCAAATGTCTACAAATCTCTTCTTCTTTTAACACCTTGCATGTATACAAAGTATAGCTGCTTTGGCCATCCCAAAGGAGAGATAGAGTGTAACCCGTTTTAGTGCTATAACTCCACTGAATTAATTAATTCCAGTCTGTGTAATGTGGTGGCCAGCTGGGAACAAACTGCCAGCTTTCTTGAGAAACATTTAGTTCCCCCAGTTGTCTTCTGCTAATGAAGTTGGCTTAATTAAGTTGCCTTCCCTGCTAACGTAAAGCCTGTTCAAATAGTTGAAAGCAATTAAACCATAAGTTAGCTTATTTCTGACTCTGATCTAGGAACCATCCCTGTTAGAGCAGCAGCTCTTTGCGCCCTGATCTTTAATAAACTGATATCAAACTCCCCTTGCCTTTGCTCACAGGCCTGGACTCTTCTGTGCCTCCTCCCCAGGCAGTTCCTGCTGCTGCTGAAAATCTCTTCGCGCCACTCGTTGCTGCTGTCGCCATCCTGGCAGTTGTCGTTTTTGTTCTTGCCGGTTTTCTTGTGAGAGCTGCACCGAAGAAACAGCTTTCACATGGGATAATGTGAGATTGAAGGTCAGCATCATCCACCAAATGACCTCAGGGCAAATGTCATGTATTATAAGCGGCCAAAATGCTTGACAACAGCCACATGAGTGCCATTTATAAGAAGCTGTGGTATCTTTATCTACAATGAATCCTAGCCTGTTACAATGCTTTAGAATACCTTGTAATCCTAACACTTCTTAAATGATTAGGAAATAATTTCAACATTCATGTCACGGGTGCAATCTTTGTATACTTTTTCTCCTCTTTATTTATCTTCTTGCATCCTTCTCAGACCATTTCTCTCGTACCTCAATGTTTTGTGAGCTGGAGAAAAGAATATGAATGAAGCACCAATATATATTTCAAGTTTTATTAAATGGGAAGAAGATTTAACTTTGGGAGAAGTAGTAGATCATGTCTAGAAAGGAAATACAAATATTGATCTTACCATGGCATCCAGAATTGCAGCTATACCATATTCTAATAATTTTGAGCATTATCTTTAATGCTAAATTTCAGATCCAATAATGGATCTGTGTCTATTTATAAAATGTAGAGTTTTCCAAGCTAAAGTAATCTGTTATATGGGTAGTGTAATTTAAAATCAAAGTAAGGAATGTTTACAAACCAGTAATCCTATTTTGTCTTTCAAATTAATGTCTCTGTGATTAAAATAAAAACAAATGTTTTATCATGTTGATGAGTGTGGTCTGTTGGATTAAAAATTCACCAAGCGATGAACTGAGCCCCTGCTTCTGAAATATTACGTAGAGGATTTCTAAATATTTTAATGTAGGCTTCAAAAGGAATGAGCTAATTCTGGGATTAATTCTGGAACTGGGGTTGTTTAGTCTGGAGAAGAGGAGACTGAGGGAAGATACTGTCCTCTGCAACTCCCTGAAAGGAGGGGGTAGAGGGGTGATGTTGGTCTTTGCTTCCAAGTAACCAGTGACAGGATGAGAGGAAGTGGCCTCAAGTTGCACCAAAGGAGGTTTAGATTGGATATGAAGAAAAATCTCTTTACTGAAAGAGTGGTCAAGCACTGGAAGGGGCTCCCTAGGGAGATGGTGGAGTCACCATTCCTGGAGGGGTTCAAAAAAATGTGTGGATGTGGCAGGACATGGTTTAGTGGTCATGATGGGGTTGGGCTGACGGTTGGACTCAATGATCTTAGAGGTCTCTTCCAACCTTAATGTGATTCTGTGATCACTATTGAAAAGGCTTTTCAGAGTGTGTGTCCTCAATTTTCACTGTTGCTGGTCAAGCCCATTAGTTCTTGCCCTGTCCCTCCTGGCCATGGGGAGTAATTTTCCTCCCTTTCTTGTTAGGTGCATTTTACCTGTTTGAAAATTGATGGTTTTTTCCATTAAGGTTTCACTTCTCTAAATGAAATAAATCTAAATCCAAAAGAGGCTGAGCTGTTAAAGGTGTTTTATCTGCAGTATTTAAGGCTGAATCACGCAATCTGATCTACAAGCTTGTCAAATCACTTGAAAGACCTGGCAAAACCATAAATCTCAACCAAGACATCGAATCTCAGTCAAGAGACTATTCAGGTCTCATCAAAATGTCTTTTAAACACTGAAAGACATTTCATAACTCCTTTCCATAATGAAGAGTTTTGGTCAGTTTTTAATACATTTGGTTGCTGATCACAATAAAATTATTTAACTTTTCTGTTTTCCCATGGTTGTGTGCTTTGTGGTTGGAAGGAGTCCTCAGGACTTACCCAGTCTTTCAGTGTTGTGCCTACTCATAAATCAGGTTGAAACATGCTGAAAATGCAAAAAGCCAAATCCCACGTTTACCACTGGTGCATTGAAGCATAAAAAGCAAGGTGTGGGATTTCTGCCTTTCATGTCCTAGTTGAAAATACAGAGAATTAAAGCCAACAAATTGTTTATTGGACCTTCTGTAGCATGTAGCATGTACTTGTTCACTCAGTAGTATGTGCTTAACCAATGACCTCAGAACCAACTAAACATGTTCAACTAAACATTATCATGCTAAAATCGCTTGCAAGTGCCAATGTATGTAGAGTGAGCTGTGTTGGGAGAGGCTAACAACTGAAGTACACCACGTATATCCAAACCATGTAGCTGCAAGTGTTTGTAACTCTGACAAAACTGCACATCCCTGAACAACACTCCTGAAGCAGCACTTGAGAAGGTCTGGGGTTTTCTTTTTCATGGGAAAAGAGAATGGATCCATAGCAATTTGGTTTCAAATACATACACCTTGTTTGGTCAAAAAATTGTATAGACTCTATGGGTTCCTGGCGTTGTGGTGTTCCCAGTGTTATCATGTAACCGATGTGGCCAGCATTGGGGTTAAAACACAGCTCAGAAACCAAGTTCTTGTTTGCTTGTTTGTAAGCTGAATTTCCTGTGCTTTGGTGTCCTGTTTATTTTTCTATTCTAATTTTGGAGTATGAAGCAGATAATTCAACTCTGTAATCCTCCTGCCCAGGAACACACTATAAAAATATTTATAATTGGGTATTAGTAAACACTGTTGTGTTTCTGGATCCCAGAGCTGGCAAGTAGGTCCATTTTCCAGTTGTTAACAACAAATCTCTACATTTTGTAGGTTGAGACTAAAAAAAAACCCTCTAATTTGGGTTTGCAGGGTATGGATAGGAAACAGAGTTTTTTCTTGTTTTCATTCCTTTCTCCCCATGCCTTGCCATACAAGCCCACAGACATTGATTGAAACCAAGCTGAATTAAGCAGCTAAGCACAACCTTCTGCTCACAGTTCCAACCTAGGCATCCTTTAATGCCTAAGACCGAACATATGCACCAAATTCTAATTAAATAGCTAAATGAACATACTCTGAAGGTCACTTGCATTTGACTGATATATTTTTTGTAATAACTCCACCAGACTCGCCAATCACAGACAAGCTTTTTAACAGGATTGCATCAGAGTCTACCTTGAACAGGAAACCAGGCAGCCAGCCACTGCAGCTGCGTTGCTGAATTGTCCACCACATTTAATAAACTCAGAAGAAACAGCAAATACATTTCTTGAGGCTGCCCCACCATTTCTCTTTGTCTGTTACAAGCTCAAGATAAAAGGAATTGCAGTCCTTTGCTGTCCAGCAAGAAGAAGATATTCTACCTAATTTTTTCTTTCTTTTAGTAGCTTGCTTTTATTTTCATGAGGCTTTTAAATTTAATTTTTACTTGTTTAGGCAGTTTATATCTAGCTGGAAAAAACTAAGGAGATATTAAAATTCTCACAGCAGCTTGTGTATTTTAGATTTTCTATCTCAGGCTCAAGAATTATGACACAGAAGGATGTTTTAATGAAGTTATGCCCAGCTGGGGAAAGTCATCAGTGACCCAGCTGGGTGAGATTTGTTTTCATTTCCTAGAATAACACTCAGATCACCTCTTTTTCCCTGAATCACCTGGTACCCATCCAAGCAGACTTTTCCTTGTTCTTTCTAAAATAAGTGAATTAGTCACAGGTTGTAATGGAGAAGTTAATTGGGTGGCTGCTGTTCTAAAGAGCCTGCCAGGTTTGAATGACTTACATCTTCTTTTGTAACTTGTTTTCAGAAACCATATTTTCAGAGAGGTGGCTTCTCTCTTTCCTTCTCTTTCTCTATGGAGACTGTGAGGGCTGTGTTTTGTCCTCAGTCTCATGAAAACCTGTTAAGTCTAAGGAAGTTTTCTGTAGGTGTATGTGTGACTAAATAGAATAGATAAAATGTGATGTTTGAACAGTGGCAGTCAGATGAGTGTTACCCGGCAGCCTTGGAAGCCAAAACCCACCTATCAGGATGGGGATGAAAGTCAAGTAATAACCCATCTACTGGACTGAGGATGAAGTAAGTCCATTATGTTTTTTTCCATTTGACTCCTTTTCTGCTTCTATGCCCTCCTTCTTGTTCTGCTCCTACCATGCAGACAACTTCCCAGTAGATGTCAAGATCTTGTTATTCTTTGCCCTATCTCCTTCATCACTATTGCCCTTTAATTTAGGCACTGAGTAAAATTAGGCACTCTGTACAAAGACTGAGTTTTCTTCTGTGCCTGACCAGTTGGTAGCACAAAAGGACCCTAACTTGGGTGCTCCTCGTTCACTGAATTTCCTGGTTACAAAAGTTTACACACAGATTCAGTCAGGGATGCTGAGGTGTTTCTGCAGCATTTGGCATTAGTTGCCACCGCCTCCCATTGCTAAGTGTGGATTCAAGCAGAGCTTGACTTCATGAGATAAAATGAGAACTGAGTTGCACCGATGTAAGGGTTTTCCCATGCAAAGAGGTGGCAGAGGACATGATTTAGTATTAATGTGGCAAAACCAGGCCTTCTTTCCAAAAATGCTGGATCCTGCCGTGCCTAGTCATGGGCTCAGCAAGCCAACTGTGAAGCCCCAGTTACCAGAGGGTGGCCAAAACCTGTTGCTTTGGGGTTTTTTTGAGCTTCTGGGCAGCTTGGGCAGCCTGCATTTGAAAGCTGCACACTGTGCATGTAGAGTAAACACTTGATCTGAGACTTGCCAGTGTGGAACAAGCCGCCTTTGTTTCATAAAAGTTCACTGGATTTCTGTAAGGAATGTATTGTTGAGGAAGAAAAGTGTCCTGCTCTCTGCCAACACTGCAAGGATTAACCCAGGCGTCACATGAGACGCTTCCCAAAGGCTGTGAAGTATGACATCTGGGATGACACAGACCGAGCTGAAAAATAACTGTTTGGAATACAGACTAGAATTTTTACAGTCTTCAGTTGTTCCTGGCATTGCATTTTATTTCCTAGCAGATAAGGCAGTCCATTGCCCTGATAATGCTTACAGCTGATGGTGCTTGGCTGCGTGAGCCGTGGTGTAGAGGTCTGGGCCATAGAAACACTGTAACTGCCTCAGCTGATCAAAATGGGACCAGGAGGTATGCAGCTGCGATGTGGGAACGACCTTCAGTGCTTGAAAATAGAAACCTGGCAGAGGAGTAAAGAAGATAAAGAAGGCACTGAACACAGCAAAATAGACTGGAGACGGAGAAATTTC